TTAGTGATCATAACGGAACTCCTTCACGAGGAACTCCTATTTAATTTGTCTTGACATTCCAACACAAAGGTATAACAATTGCATTGCCACTGATCCACTGTACATATACCTAATATAGTTAATAATTACCCATCTCTCTCATCCTCGTTCTCCTCCGCTCTCTCTCCCTGTACACTTACCACATAATCAGTTTTAACATACGGCAGATATGTTAGTGAACTGGCTCTCATTACACGTTGCTGTAAATTTCTTAGTTTATTCGGATAAAGTTCAACGTTTTTGGCAAATGCTCGAGTCTCCGCCAGGAACGTATCAAGATGTATGGCATCCAAATTGCCCACAGCTCCAACATATTTCTGTGTCCACAATTCAAAATTGACGATGTTGTTGTTGTGTATGTTGTTATTGGTTTTATGGTTTGCCATCGGAGAAGTTACATGCCACATGAAATCGGTGCTGTACAATTCAGTGGTTGTTTCCATGGTTTTTGTCGAATCCACCAGCAGCTGAGGGGTAACTCGATGTATTTCCTTGGCGGTGCAATTGTCACAAGTTTGTGTAGTAGTTGTCGTTGTTTTTGCTGTCGTAGTTGATGTTTGTTGTTCTTTTTGCTTTTTTGTTGCTTCATTGCAGTTATCGTCCTTATCCGCTTGTTGTCCATTGGCGTTGAAGTAGTTTTCGTTAGCGATCTCTTCAATTGTTGGCGTAACCATCAAGTGATGCGGATAAACTGAGAACAAAAAATACAAAATACATTTAGTCATAACCATTTGTTAAGTTTTGCATTTGAGGCAAAAGGAAGTAAGGCAAACATGAATTTACGTCGATAAATATTAAAACAAAAGTTAGAAGGGTTTATATTGGAGTTGCCAAAGTTTTTAAATGTTGGGCCAAATGTGATGTTTTGTAATATCATTTATTAAGTAGTGGTGATTATAACATAATACTAATATCTTTATTAATCTAAGAGTAAATTGGTTGTAAATTGTCTGCTCATCGTTGTACGATGGACAAACTGAGCGGGTTAAACATTGTAAATACTGTTAGCAGCTAAGTTATCAATTGTAAGTGACGCATCAAAGATCCAAAGTTAGGCCGATTGGTACTAAATGTTGTACAACGTACTGAAGCTACTATAACATAACGTGTATCAAGTCTTGTTGAAATCGCTTCAGATTTAAATATAGCTCCCATATATAGCTATGAAACAAAGACCCAAAATTTGACCGATTGTCGCAAAATTTTGTTGAGCATCAGTACATGGTTGTGTAGGCTAACGTCAAGTTTCGTTGAAATCGGTTCAGATTTAAATACAGGGTGAGATGAAACAAGTGAAACCAGTAAGGAAAGTAGTAAAGTCAGACGGGGCCGACTAAATGACACCCTTCACCACTATGGGTATATTAAACAGGACTATTAACATGGAATTGGATGAAATAAAATATGTGATATTTATCTAAATGTGAATCTACCTAGATCTATCCATAAAGTATGTAAATCGACTTCAAACAAATATAAATAGGTCATCCGTTGGGCTATGTCTGTAATTCTAGAAAACGCAACTACGTAATTCTATGCTCAATTTTGTACGTTGTGCAAAATTTGATGTCAATCTGACTAACATGAGGAGTTTGATGCCCAATTTATTTGAAATCGGGCGAAAATGTATATGGAAGCTCTATCCAAATATTAAGCGATTTCAAACAAACTTGTCACAGGTTAGGTTATACTAATTTCAGAACGTTTTGTTCCTATTGGTTCCTTGGTGCGTCAATTACTTAAAATCAATCTATAATAAAAGGGAGCTATATCTAAATCTGGTCCGATTTTTACGAAACAAGGCAGACATCACTCTAGGCTCAATTCAGTACGTTATGCCAAATTTCGTGCAAATCGAAAGATATATAGCGACTTTGGTGCACCATTTACATGAAATCGGACGAAATTATATGTGGGAGCTATATAGAAATCTGGACCGATTTTCATGAAACTTGTCAGACATCATTCTAGGCTCAATTAAGTACGTTATGCCAGATTTCGTGCAAATCGAAGGATATCTAGGGACTTTGGGGCACCATTTACATGAAATCGGACGAAACTATATATGGGAGCTATATCTAAATCTGGACCGATTTTCTCGAAACTTGGCAGACATCATTCTAGGCTCAATTCAGTACGTTATGCCAAATTTCGTCCAAATCGAAGGATAAATGCGACCTGTACTTTGTTTACAATTTAACATGGACAGACAGACGGACAGACGGACATACGGACGGACGGACATGCATAAATCGACTTAAAAAGTGATTATATGCATATTCTCAAAAGGAACCATGGGTCTATCTCGATTATTTTTGCCTGTTACAAACATATGTACAAAGACATAATACCCTGTACCACAGATAAAGAAAATCGGTCCTAATTTAGATATAGCTCCCATATATAGTTTCGCCCGATTTCATGTAACTGGTGCACCAAAGTCCCTATATATCCTTCGATTTGCACGAAATTTGGCATAACGTACTGAATTGAGCCTAGAATGATGTCTGCCAAGTTTCGAGAAATCGGTCCAGATTTAGATATAGCTCCCATATATACTTTCGTCCGATTTCATGTAAATGGTGCCCCAAAGTCCCTATATATCTTTCGATTTGCACGAAATTTGGCATAACGTATTGAATTAAGCCATATATAGTTTCGCCCGATTTCATGTAACTGGTGCACCAAAGTCCCTATATATCCTTCGATTTGCACGAAATTTGGCATAACGTACTGAATTGAGCCTAGAGTGATGTCTGCCAAGATTCGAGAAAATCGGTCCAGATTTAGATGTAGCTCCCATATATAGTTTCGTCCGATTTTATGTAAATGGTGCACCAAAGTCCCTATATATCCTTCTATTTGCACTAAATTTGGCACAACGTACTGAATTGGGCCTAGAGTGATGTCTGTCTTGTTTGGTGAAAATCGGTTCTGATTTAGATATAACTCCCATATATAGTTTCGTCCGATTTCATGTAAATGGTGCACCAAAGTCCCTATATATCCATCGATTTGCAGGAAATTTGGCATAACGTACTGAATTGGGCCTAGAGTGATGTCTGTCTTGTTTGGTGAAAATCGGTTCTGATTTAGATATAACTCCCATATATAGTTTCGTCCGATTTCATGTAAATGGTGCCCCAAAGTCCCTATATATCTTTCGATTTGCACGAAATTTGGCATAACGTATTGAATTAAGCCTAGAGTGATGTCTGCCAAGTTTCGAGAATATCGGTCCAGATTTAGATATAGCTCCCATATATAGTTTCGTTCGATTTTATGTAAATGGTGCACCAAAATCCCTATATATCTTTCGATTTGCACGAAATTTGGCATAACGTATTGAATTAAGCCTAGAGTGATGTCTGCCAAGTTTCGAGAATATCGGTCCAGATTTAGATATAGCTCCCATATATAGTTTCGCCCGATTTCATGTAACTGGTGCACCAAAGTTCCTATATATCCTTCGATTTGCACGAAATTTGGCGTAACGTACTGAATTGAGCCTAGAGTGATGTCTGCCAAGTTTCGAGAAAATCGGTCCAGATTTAGATGTAGCTCCCATATATAGTTTCGTCCGATTTTATGTAAATGGTGCACCAAAGTCCCTATATATCCTTCGATTCGCACTAAATTTGGCACAACGTACTGAATTGGGCCTAGAGTGATGTCTGTCTTGTTTGGTGAAAATCGGTTCTGATTTAGATATAACACCCATATATAGTTTCGTCCGATTTCATGTAAATGGTGCACCAAAGTCCCTATATATCCATCGATTTGCAGGAAATTTGTGCATAACGTATTGAATTGGGCCTAGAGTGATATCTGTCTTGTTTGGTGAAAATCGGTTCTGATTTAAATATAACTCCCATATATAGTTTCGTCCGATTTCATGTAAATGGTGCACCAAAGTCCCTATATATCCTTCCATTTGCAGGAAATTTGGCATGACGTACTGAATTGAGCCTACAGTGATGTCTACCAAGTTTTGAGAAAATCGGTCCTGATTTAGATAAAGCTCCCATATATAGTTTCGTCCGATTTCATGTAAATGGTGCACCAACGTCCCTATATATCCTTCGATTTGCACGAAATTTGGCATAACGTACTGAATTGAGCCTAGAGTGATGTCTGCCTTGTTTCGTGAAAATCGGCCTAGATTTAGATATAGCTCCTTTTATTATAGATTGATTTTATGTAAATGACGCACCAAGGAACCAATAGGAACAAAACGTTCTGAAATTAGTATAACCTAACATGTGACAAGTTTGTTTGAAATCGCTTAATATTTTGGTAAAGCTTCCATATATATTTTCGCTTGATTTCAAGTAAATTGGGCATCAAACTGCTCATGTTAGTCAGATTGACATCAAATTTTGCACAACTTACAAAATTGAGCATAGAATTACTTAGTTGCGTTTTTTAGAAGTACAGATATAGCCCAACGGATGACCTATTTATATTTGTTTGAAGTCGATTTACATACTTTTGTTTCATTGTAACAAACGAATGACATTTTTATGGACAGTTCTAGGTAGATTCACATTTAGATAAATATCACATATTTTATTTTATCCAATTTCATGTTAATAGTCCTGTTTAATATACCCATAGTGGTGAAGGGTATCATATAGTCGGCCCCGTCCGACTTTACTACTTTCCTTACTGGTTAAAGGATATTTTTCCTAAAAACCCCAGAAAATAGTCCGATATTGACGACGCTCTATTTCGAGTTACAAAAGGAAAAACAAAACTAATATACCCTCCATACTATGGTGGAGGGTATAAAAACGGCAACTATCTTAAGACTGCTGTCATTTCTAAGCCACTCGTCCGACAGCTGTTAAAATTATTCCAGTGACAGCTCATTATATTGTTTACAAGCGTATTCGTGATGGAATTCAAGCGTCATAATGGCATTTATTCATTTATTGGCTAGAAAACTCCAATTGCTATCGTTAGAGCACTCCAGCATTTAAATGTAAATAAATCTTTTGAGTCTCGTAACGCTCGTTAACGAGATACTGGTAATGTAGCCCAACGTCAAGGAAGTGGACGGAAGAAAACAGCAACATCAGCAGAAATGGTTCGAAAAGTAAAGAAGCGACTTGATAGGAACCCGAGTTGCAGTTGCCGAAAAATGGCTCGTGAGCTGAATATATCGCAATATTCTCTTCGGCAAATATTTAAAAATGAGCTCGGGGTGAAGCTTGAAATTCCAAAAAGTGCAAGAACTTACACCGCAACAGAAAGAATATAGACTCAAAAGAGCTAAAGAGTTGCTTCGCTTGGTCGAAAGTGGTGAACTGCCAAATTTGGTTTTATCCGTGTTTACTTGCCAAAGAGGTCAGCTGAAACTGTGCACCTTTGATTGGCCACCAGAACTCAAGCGTCGGCCGAGGTGATGGTGTGGACCGCCATAACTGCCGATAGTCGCTCTCCCCTCGTATTATTCGACCGTGGCATCCGAATAAATGCCGAATATTATCGTGAAAATATTGTGGAAGGTGTATTAAAGCCTTGGGTACGCAAAAATTTTAGCCGCAGACCTTGGACATTCCAACAGGACTTAGCACGCACCACCCAAAAATGGTTACAATATGAAGTTCCTCGCTTCATTTCCAGCACACAATGGCCACCAAAATCTCCGGATACCAATCCGTTGGACTATTGAGTCTAGAGTACTTTGGAGAGAAAGGTTGGCACTAAAAACCAGTAAGGAAAGTAGTAAAGTCAAACGGGGCCGACTATATGATACCCTTCACCACTTTGGGTATATCCAACAGATGAATCCTAACAGACGTCGAATTTTTGAAGGATCTGTATACATCGAAATCTAGACCAATTTCAACTAAACTTGCCGTACGTTATAGTAACTTCAGTACGTAGTGCAAAATTGTGTGCCGATTGGACATACCTAGGTGAAGCATTTATATCTAACTTCTAGGTTATACTAACTGTAGTACGTTGTGCAAAATTTGTGTCAATTTTCTATACATAAATCTGAAACGATTTCAAGGAGACTGGCCAGAGATTAATTTATATTAACACCAGTTTATTGTACAAAATTGTGTGGCAATCGGACAAACTTTGGGTCTTTAGTGCACAATTTACATAAAATCGGAAGAAAAATTATATAGGAGCTATATCTAAATCTAAACCGATTTTCACGAAACTGAACACACTAGACTTAATTCATTACGCTATGCCAAATTTCGTGCAAATCGAATGATATATAAGGACTTTGGTACACCATTTACATTAAATCGGACGAAAACATATATGGGAGCTATATCTAAATCTGAACCGATTTTCTCGAAACTTACCACACATCATTCTGGACCTAATTCAGTACTCCGTGCCAAATTTCATGCAAATCGAAAGATATTGAGGGACTTTGGTGCCCCATTTAACTTAAATCCGACGAAAATATATATGGAACTATATCTAAATCTGAACCGATTTTCTCGGAACTTAACACACAATATTCTAGACTTAATTTAGTACGTCATGCCAAATTTCATGAAAATCGAAAAATATATAGGGACTTTGGTACAGTATTTAGATAAAATCGGACGAAACTATATATGGGAGCTATATCTAAATCAAGACCGATTTTCACGAAACTTGGTAGGCGTTATTCTAGGCTCAATTCAATACGTTATGCCAAATTTGGTTCAAATCGAAGGATATATAGGGACTTTGGTGCACCATTTACATGAAATCGGACGAAACTATATATGAGAGCTATATCTAAATCAAGACCGATTTTCACGAAACTTGGTAGGCGTTATTCTAGGCTCAATTCAATACGTTATGCCAAATTTCGTTCAAATCGAAGGATATATAGGGACTTTGGTGCACCATTTACATGAAATTGGACGAAACTATATATGGGAGCTATATCTAAATCTTGACCGATTTTCCCGAAACTTGGCAGACATATTTCTAGGCTCAATTCAGTTCGTTATGCCAAATTTCGTGCAAATCGAATGATATATAAGGACTTTGGTACACCCTTTACATTAAATCGGACGAAAACAGATATGGGAGCTATATCTAAATCTGGACCGATTTTCAAGAAAATTAACTCACTTCATTCTAGATTCAGTACGCTGTGCCAAATAACGTGCAAATCGAAAGATATATAGGGACTTTGGTACACCATATACCTTAAATCGGACGAATATATATATATATATATACTAGCAAAGTACCCGCTACTTCGTATGCGGAAAGGGAATAAAAAAATATTTCTTATGGAAATCGTGAATACCGTATAATTAGTTGTACTATAGTTCTGAATTCCACCTCTATTCCTACATTTAATATCAAGTTTATTGCCATTAAGTACTCTTCATACACATAAGCACTAATTTCCGAAATCCACACTTTAGGAAAAACGCACAGGTTCCACATGTAGTTCCATTTAGAACTTTTCGAACACATAATTCTACATTTTCAAGACTACCTCTATACCGTCACCTCCACTAAATTTAATACCAAAAACCCTTTGGTCCTTCTTTCTAACTCTCTGTCAATGACCAACATTCTAAATTTTAGGTTTCCAGCTTTCTCCGTTACCCAAATTCAAATTATTCCAAATTTAGTGAATTTTCTTCCACCATAGTCCAAATTGTTCCAAATTTAGTGGTTTTCGTACTCATAAGTACAAATTTCCAAATGTACCTCAATCCTTCTTTCAGATAGTCCAAATTTAAGATTTTCA